CAATCTTGACAATATTATCTTGCATTTGTAAATTTAGAATAACCTATTTAAATACGCAAATTTAACATTCAATTATCTCTGCATAAACAATTCCAATATAATCTTGCATTGATATACTTTAAAGTATTTATTAAAAAAAAACATTGGGCATTATCCTAATCGCGCAATGCGCGTAAAAAACTAGTATATATATATATATATATATATATATATATATATATATATATATATATATATATATATCTGTGTGTGTGTGTGTACATATATACATACATATATATAATATGACATATATACACCCGTAGACTAATTTGATACTTTGAATCTTTGGATGATTGAAGTATTTTAATATTTCATATTTGAGTATTTTTAATTTTTAATATTGTTTTGATATTATGACTTATGAATTATCAATATTTCATTTATTTGGATGTGTTATTTGATTGAATATTGAAAACAGCCTCATTAAAATTGTCAAACTACAAGTCTGCCACTGTTTTTTTGGCGCCCACCTAGATTCCGCCTAGGCGCCGCCTAGACCGCCTAGGCGCTAGGCGTTGTCCGGGCGCCCGACTAGCGCCTAGCGCCTACTGCAACCATGTCAAATTCTATAACTGTGTTTTAATAAGTTGTCAACCAAATAATGTCTATAACTTTCATTCTCATTCCTTGTGTCTAAACCTATGAACCAAACACACCCTTAAGGTATTTGTAACTTTGAGATTAAGTTAAAAAAAATGTTAGTATCGAGCGCTTACCACGACACCAAAAGATATAGGGCAATTGGACTTGGCATTTCCGGCCTCCGCTTAACAATTTCTCTAGTACTAATCAACCTTAACTGCTCATGTGACCAGACTCTGATATTACTTGTTAAATCAAGCCACGTGATGCTGGACTTGGTCCTTCACCGGCCTCCACCTAACCAAAGAATTTCAAGAAAGTTTTTGTACCTTTCCAAGCAATCATTATTTCCAAGAAAGTTATATATGGTGTAATAGTAACAAATATTTGTAGAAAGTATCAAAAATTGTTTAATAAGTAAGCTCAATTGCTATAAAAGTTATGTGAAACATAATATAGATGAAGTTTATCATTAGTATTTTTTAATTAAAATTTTAAATAAAATTTCAATAAATATATTGCAAAATAAAATATTTTTTTTATGAAAATAAATAATGAAAAATTTAAAACTTATTATAAATATTATATTATAGTGTAACTATATTCATTATTTTTAGTTGAAATTTAGAAATGAATGTTTAGATTGATTTGAGTGATGTATAAATTTATATTTATTAGTGTAAAAGTGCTAGTTTGGAATATATTTATAATTTATTTAACTCTAATATAATTTATATGTTATATTTTAACTTTATAATTATAATATTATTAAGTTATAAAGTTTATATATATATATATATATATATATATATATATATATATATATATATATATATATATAGTGAAAGGTTCCGTGCGGATGAATGCTTCCCGTGCGGATGTACGACGAATTAATGTGCGTGAGGTTTGTACTCAATGTGCGTGAGTGTTGTGCTTAATGTGCCTGAGATTTGTAATTAATGTGCGTGAATGTGTAAAATGCAGCAGAAAATATTGATGTCAGCTTCTTCCCCATCCCCAGTAGCCATTGCCCCCTCCCTGATGATGATGATGTGGATGCGGGCTATGGTGGTTAAGAATTATGGGAATAATACAATAGAAATCCACACTTAGCTGCTGTGCAAATTTTACTGTGTGTGCGTCATCTATATAACATTCAACTGCACTGAAGGTAGTTGATAATCCAGAATCCATGGCCAAATTGAAGTAAGAAGTAACAAGAAGCTTGGGCGTTAATGTGCGTGAGTTTCTGTTCTGCTTCCTTCTGAGCTCGTAATTATGAAATACTCACGCATATTAAGCACAAATCTCACGCACATTAAACACAATACTCAGGCACATTAAGTACAAAACTCACGCATATTAACATGACGCACATTAAGTACAAATCTCAGGCACATTGAGTACAAATCTCACGCACATTAAGTATAAACCTCACGCACATTAATCCACCGAAATCCGCACGGGAAGCCACAAATGCACCTGATCCCTTCCCTATATATATATATATATATATATATATATATATATATATATATATATATATATATATATATATATATATATAATTTATGTAATAATAAACTTTATATTAACTACACAATTGTATTAATATGTATATATAGTTATGCAAAAAAGTTCAACAAATATGAAACACCTTTATCATAATTGGTTTTGTTAGGTTTTGATTAAATGTTATGGCAAACCTGACCAAAAAATAACAAAAAAAATAAAATAAAAATTGATTAGCCCAAATCGATAAGTCCTATAATCTGATAAAACTAACTCAAAAATTTGCAAAGAAATATAAGGATCGTTATGTTGTGCATCCGTGTTCACCATGCATGGTGCATACAGATGCAAAAACGATGTCGTTTTGACTAAAAACGCGCGTCCCACTTAAAAAAAAAATTCAGTTTTGATTCCCCTCAAAAGCATTATGGATGATCAGACAGTCTGGGGGGCCATTCACGTCAACACAATCCACTAGATAATCAACAAGGAGTACAAGGGAAATTGGACTTGGCATTAATTTTCAACCTCCAGCTAACAATTTTTCTAGCACTTGTCAACTTTAACTGCTCGCAGGGGCGGAGCCAGAAATATTTTTGAGTAGGGGCGTAGTTCAAATGAATTAATGTCTATGACAAAATAACTTAATCTTATGACCCATGGTATCAAATCTTAAGGAACAACCAACAAAGCTACCTAAACATTTTGTGACTTGTATATACATATTGCCATTTTTAAAGGGAAAAAAGTAAATTCAAAAGCTTCCATTGTTCAGGCTATCTCAAAATCACTTCTTGACCAGATAGACGACCATCTCACCCTTAACCATTCTATCCAGGACATAATTCCTTGAGTCAATTCTCATTACATCTACCATCTACATGGAACAAGGAGACAATTGGGATTTCAGGTAACAACTATAAACAACCAAGAAAACATACAGACACAAACACGGACACAGATATATAAAAAACAGACGTGAATTGGAAATAGAAATGTTATTTATTTGAATATACTTTCAATGAAGACAGATAGCTGGTTCAAGAAAGCATTGATTTGGTCTCTGTAGAGGTTAGGCCTGTGCAACGGACGGGTTCGGACGGTTCGGGCTCGCGGAAGGCTAATCCGATCGGACTTCGGATACCATATTCGAGCACCTATCCGTTTATTTTCCCACCTAATTCCGTCGGATATTCTTCTGAATTACCGTTCGGATATCCTACTCAACCGTCGGATAGTTCGGTTATTGATGATAAAAGTGTAAGTGCAAAAATAATAAATTTATTTAACAAAAAGAACTGATTTTTAAAACTTAACCACTAAAAGTCTAAAATACAGAACTACTTAAGGAGTAAGAGTGTAAAACACTTCACAAGTTCACAGTTACAAATTAAAATTTACATTCATAAACATTTGATACTGATTACAGACTAACTGACTAAGCATACAAAAATACAAAATAACAAAAATACAAAACACTGAAGTTCAGACATTAAGCAGTAAGCAATTAAGAATTAATCCAATCCTCCAAAACTTGAAAGTCCAATGTCCAAACTCCAAAGTCGAAGCCACCAAGCCTCAGCAGTCAGCAGTCAGCAACTCAGCATTCAGCAATCAGCATTTAGTCATTTACAAGGAGTCCACAAAAAGAATACCAGTAGACCACTATCTGTGTATCTCTATATTAAAAGACCCTAATAATATGATTATAACCTATTTGGCTATTCATCTTCCTGATAAGTAAAAACACAACTTTTATAAGCTTTAAAATATATACAGAGTAAATACCCAAAAGTCCCTCGACTATAGCTAAATTCACAAATTGGTCTTCGACATTCAATTTCAACCAATTAAGTCCTTAACTTTGCAATTTTAACACAATTTGATCCTTTGTCTATTTGACCGTTTATTGACTGTGATTTTTGAGGATATATATGTAATTTCATGGTCCATCGTCGAGTTTTTAAGGTTCCGGTTGCATTTCCAGACCGCACTGTTACATTTGAATCCACTGCCGAAAGCAATCTACCAAATTCGGTCGCCTTTTTTCATCCTCCCTTTGGATTCAATGTAGTTGAGTTCGTACCAGAGCGAAGATGACAACGTGTTTCCGAACCAGTGCAACGTCATCCTGGAGGCCTCCACGTGCTCCGACGAGAGCTGAAGGTTCTTCTGGAGATCGTCGATCACGGACAACAAATAGTCAAATAGATGGAGGACCAAATTGTGTCAAAATTGCAAAGTTAAGGACTTAATTGGTTAAAATTGAAAGTCGAGAACCAATTTGTGAATTTAGCTATAGTCGAGGGACCATTTTAGGTATTTACTCATATATAAACTTTAAACAATTGAACATTTTTTTTTTTTTTTTTTTTTTTTTTTGAATGTTACTGGTCCCTATTACATTGTAGTATCTGTTCATATACTTTCTCAACCTACTGAAACACAAAGAACCAATAACGCCTCCACTAAGGCTTGAACTTACAACCTTCCAATTGAACATGAATGAGTTAGAATATGAGATTTATACATTATACATGATAGATAATTTATAAATTTTATATAGAGTGCTCAGATTGCTATTTTTCCAGATCAACTAAGGATTGGGGGAAATTGCTCAATATGAGTATGACACAAAACACCACACTACATAGGCAACATGCCAAACCCAATTCTATATATTCAGAAAACATGGTGGAAGCATCATCATTGCACAAGGGGCCAAAGACAATTAAGTAATTAACAATAAGTCAATAACAAAGATATGGAGACTGGAGAGAAGTGAAGCCATATACATTACCACTTTACCAGACACCATTCATCATTCAGGTGCCAAATGCTCAATGGCAGCAACATTTAAAATGTCACCAAGCCATTGAACACTTTCCATTTCCTAGCCAAGGAATGAGGGTCTGAGGGACATTGATATTTGATACACATACACTGTAACACTGATGCAGTCATACAGACATATCATATAATAATCATTGATCAAATATCAAAATAAATACAGAAATGCTTTATGGAATATAAGTTATAAGTATATAACCATACAGGTATTGTAGGCAATGATCCAACTCCAGTGGTGGATGTGCTGCACAACTCTGCAAAAAGAAAAAAAACACAAGTATAAGTTAAAAGAAGTATTAATTTATACTAAATAGTTATAACTTCTAAGTTAAAAAATGTAAATTTTAGAGATTTACCTTTCTCAATCCTTTCAACATCTTCAATATTTTCTTCAACAGATATTGGTTGATTGGATAACCTCAACCAATCCTGTGCACACACAAGTGCCTCAACAATCTTAGGTGTTAGGGAACTCCTAAAGGCATCTAGTACCCTGCCACTGGTACTGAATGCTGATTAAGATGCAACAATAGAGATTGGAACAGCAAGTACATCCCTTGCCATTTTAGATAACACAGGGAACCTATCAGAATTCAGCTTCCACCATCTTAGAAGGTCAAAAGAATCCTCATCATCCACAATGACCTCAGACAAATACACCTCCAACTCAGTTTTTTTCATTGACAAATCACCACTACCCAATTTTTGTTTCTTAATATGGGATTTCAATAATACTTGAGGTTTCCCAACAGAAACACAATAAAAAATTATAACTGAAGGGGCTGATTTGGCAGAATTTTCAGGAATAGACTGGACAGGAAAACAGGACACATAATCTTGAAATAACTCCTTAAGGCCAACAACAACCTTATCAAACATTGTTTTACCTTTGTCCTCACCATATAAATGGGTAAACTGAATGGGCATATATTCTATTTTGTCCCTGGGGTCTAAGATATTTGCATAGAATATGAGAAAGTTCATTTTTTCATGCTCACCCCAATACTTATCAAACTTTGCCCTCATATTTGTACCCATCAATTTAACACTGCCATCAGCTTCCACCATATTACTTAACAATCAAGACAGATCAGAAATCTCAGAGAAAAAAGTATTAGAAGTCACATACAGTGAACCAGAAATTCTAATAGTCATTTCATAAAAAGATTTTAAAATCTTTACCAAACCAGAAATGGTTTCCCAATCCATGAAGTTAGGCATATTCTCACCCAAATCAAATTTAAATCCACTGTCTGAGCTTGCATACTCTTCAAAGACTTTATCATACAACAAAGCAGCACTCAGCATCATATAGGTGGAGTTACACCTTGTAGGAACATCAAGACACACAGAATTCTTGGCTTCCACCCGCATTACATCAGCTAGCTCCCTAAACCTTTGAAGCCTAGCAGGTGAGCTTCACACATACCTAACAACATCCCTCACTTTTTGAACAGCACTATCAGATTCTTTCCACCCATCCTGTACCACCAAGTTAAGGATGTGAGCAATGCACCTCATGTGCAAGTACTTACTCCTAACAGCAGTACAACCCCATGACACAAACTTCTTCTTTAAGAATCCTAGGGCAGTATCATTGCTAGAAGCATTATCAACTGTGACACTAAAAACTGATTTTAGACCCCAGTCCATAAGACAAATTTCTAAAGCCTTTGCAATACTTTCACCCTTGTGGGAATAGATAGGAACAAATGAAATGATTTTCTTTTGGAGCTTCCACTCACTGTCAATGAAATGTGCAGTTATGCACATGTAGTTTATTCTCTGGATTGAGGTCCATGTATCAGTTGTGATACTAACCCTCTGACTACTAGTCCTAAAGAACTTCTTCAAGTTGAGCCTCTCATCAGAAAAAAATCTTAAAAATGTCCCTACTGATAGTCCATCTTGAAGGGATTTTAAACCTAGGACAGCAAACAAACACAAACTTTCTAAACCCCTGTCCCTCAACTATCCTAAAAGGCAATTCATCCAGAATAATCATCTCAGCTAAGGCTCTCCTTATCAAGTCTTGGTCAAATACCTAAGTACCTAACACCCCTTCATATCCTTCACTACTTTCAGTTTCAGCAAAAGAAGGTGCAGGTTGGAAAGTAAGCAAGGATTGCCTTGTATCCTTAGAGTGAGGATTTTTAAGGCAGTTTACCACATGATGTCTGAGAGAAGAAGTCCCATGTTTCTTGGACTCACAACAATACACCCTAGCACAGTATAAACATTTTCCCTTGATAACAATGCCCTCAGAGTCTTTGATCTTATCAAAGTGATCCCATACAGGAGATCTGGTCTCAACTACTTTCCTTTTCTTAGGAACAGGTGGAGGCAAAAGCTGCTGAGACTGAGATGTATTTGTCTCTACAGCTGTGGCTTCCACCTCAGGTTGACTTCCAGATAAACCACTAATACTTTCCATCTAAAAAAAGGAAAGTATCAGTGAATGGGAAATCACTCATGGAAAATCATCAACAACTATGGACAGAGGCATCAAGCATGCACATTACCACATTTATTCATATAATTACTTAAAAAGGTAGAATTCAGTTAATTTCACATGTCATCATGTATGCAGAATTGCACATAAACAATTTAAGGGTCACATATCCATAAACTTAATACAATTTACAATTTACAAAGAAATCCATAATCAGGCATTCAAGCTAAGTAGATGTATGCCACTTTATAATGCTCATCATCTATATGGATTTCACACAGGGGCTAGGGCTTCCACCAGATTAGGTACAATTAACCCTTTAAGCCTTTAACTCCTTTAAGGGACAACACAGTTACACAGATTTACACTTATAAATTATAAATTTATAATGCTCATAAATCATCATATATATGGAATATGGATTTCCAAGGGCAAAGGGACACAGGGGCTAGAGCTTCCACCAACATATCACAAATTAGAGACAAGTGACATGCAATTGATGCAAATATGCAATCTGGAACTTCTCAAATCTCAACACATCACATTATCACAGTCCACAACCTTATCAAACATTATCACAGTCCACACAAATCAGTGAATCACAATCACATAAACCCTAATCAAACTATCAACGTATCACAAATTAGAGACAAGTGACATGCAATCTGGAACTTCTCAACAGATCACATTATCACAGTCCACACAAATAAGTGAATCACAATCACATAAACCCTAATCAAACTATCAAAGTATCACAAATTAGAGACAAGTGACATGCAATCTGGAACTTCTCAACAGATCACATTATCACAGTCCACACAAATCACAATCTATAAGAGTATAAGAATATAATCTAAGTATCTAACAATCCATAAGATTAGGGTTTAGAGAATAGAGATTACTTCATTTCTCTAAATTAAACCCCCGAGAACAAAGGGTTTCGATTCCTAGCCAGCGAACTGCAATCCACCGGAGTATCGCTTCCACCGGAGACTCGCTTCGACTCAGACTCTCAGAGGTCAGGGGCTATCAGAAAAGAATGGGGCTTGAGGGCTTCCACCGGAGAATAATAGCTACCACACAGTCACACTCTCAGAGATTGAGAGAAGCTGAGATTCTAAGAAGGGCTGAGAGAGAACGAGAGACTTTGAGAGAACTAGGGTAGAGAGAAGAGAGAAGTCAGAGAGTACTCTGGAAGAAGGGAAGAGCAAGAGCTGCGCAAATGAGAGTATGAGACTAGGGTTTCCGAGTTCTCCGTTCATCTTCTATATATACTAAGCCTGCACGACATCGCTTTACTTAGGGTATACAAACCCTTAACCTAAATCGGGTAGTCGGACGGGTTCGGGTGGAAAATATACCACCCTCCCCGAACTCATTAAACCGGCGTCGTTCTAGGCCGCGGTTCGGATTAGGCTAGTCGGGTTCGGTTTTCGCACCGCTCTCTTGTGTCGGGTTCGGGTTGGGCGGGTTCTGCACAGGCCTAGCAGAGGTAACTCACGGTCCCAAATCCACCAACCATACCCACAAGTAATAGAGCAACCAAAAGGTACCTTTAACAGCAATGTCCCCATCCCCACGATCAATACTATTGTCCTCCCATTTGGTTCCAAAATTAGAGAGTTTACTGAAAGAAGTTAAAAGGGGAGGCTATTTAAGTTGTTTTAGGTCAGATTTGTAAGAGGAGGACACTGTTTAGAGAGAGATTTTGATGCTTAACATTTAGAAATAGAGAGAAAACACTTTGTAGAAGAGATTTGAGTAGATTCAAGCTTAGTTTTCTTGGGAGATTGATTGAAGGAAGAGCTTGACAAACTCCATTTCAAGAGATCTTGCAAGACTTATTTCATTTCCTAATCTACTTTGGGTATTATTTCTACTCTTTCCATTTCTATTTGCTTTGATAGGTTTAGATCTATGAATGCTTTTATGATTTCCATGGCTATTGTAGGCTAGTTTAGTTAGGGTTTGAATTGTGAAAGTGTGTGTTGATATTGCTTTCATGACTTAGTTCTTAAATTAGGGATTAATTGATTGCATTGCTTCTATGTCTTGTTGTTGGGGATTGATTTGTTTGCATCAAAGGAACTTGATCACCTCCTATGGTTTTTGAGGGATTGACCTATGCTAGGTCAATCCAAGCTCCCATCCTTAACATTTCCTAGCTCAAGGAACCCTACGGAGCTTGGTTGGGAAGGAGTTGTAGGCAAGGTATTCGAGGAAAGGTTTAGGTGAAGCCTAAACAAAGTTCTAGTAGTCTAAGTTACGAAAGGACGCAAGCTACTCTCTAGACTTAGCAATTGCGTCCTCTTTCCCTATGTCAAATGATCCCCTAAGCATCTTCATCCACACTAAGTAATTCAACCCTACTTATCTTTCATTTGATTACTACTTGTCAGCATTCATTTCATTAGTTCACTACGACGTTATTCTATTGTGTGTGCGTGACATGCTATCAAACAATATCAATGTTGTTACTTTCCAAAATTAGCAACTTAGGGGTAACTCCGAGTGGCCATCCCTTGAGAACGACATAATCCGGGATTCATCCCAACACAATCTACTTATCGCAAGAAAATTACTTGTCAAAATGGCGCCGCTACCGGGGATGGCCTTAGGTTTTAGCCATTTGACTTCGTTTATTGTTTGAACGCTTGTTGCTTTTCTTTTAATTGTCTTTCATTTTATTGTTGCTTGTTTTAACCCTCATCAATTACTTTTAGTTGTGAGGAGAAATCTTGTTGACTTGTTTTTCTAGGATTGAATGCAAACGAGATCAAAAGGGAACATAAGATTTTTTTTTAATTACTATGTTTTTTTAATAAGAAAAAAATGCATGGTGTATTAATTAACTTAACTTTTTATTTACGGAAGCTCGAATTACAAGAACATAGGTTTTGAGGGAAGCTCGTTTTGTGACTTTAACCTAAAAGACTATAAATGAGTAAACCATGATTCCATGAAATTAAACCAATACGCAGCCCTACGGAAGTCAAACTTTACATGTTAAGCATATAATATATCTATCCTAACCTCGTATTAACGAGTTTTACATTATAAAATCAATACTTATTTATGAATTTGTGGGACTTGACAAGTCCTAGCAAAAAAACATAGACATGAAATGTCGGGGAAGGATTTACAAATATTTGTAGAAGTATCAAAGATTGTTCAAGGAAATTTAAGGAATTTGTAACTTGAAAGACAAAAAAAAAAAAAAAAAAAAAAAAAAAAAAAAAAAAAAATTCAAGAAAGGTTCTCTACTGTTTCCATGCATGCTCCATTGCTAATAATTTGCTATAAAACCCTTTGATATAACGATATATGAAACACGATATATGGAACACAATCACACATTCATTTAGCCATACATAAAACAAACAGAAACAGAGAGAGAGAGAGAGAGATGGCAGGCAAGGGAGAGAAGAAGATGACAGGCAAGGGAGAGGAGAAGATGGCAATGGAAAAGCAAGATCAAGAAGGTGGTGGTGAAGATCACTGCAGGAGCAATGATGGTATTGGAACAATATTTCCAGGGCCGAAGAAAGGAAGTGTATTTCCTAAACATAGGGAACCCATCTCTGCTCAGATGGGTAAGAAAATTGGTGATTGGGCTGCTTCTGCTGTCAACAACTTCAACAACAAGAAGAAGAAACATGAAGACGATATTGATTCTGACTAGGTTTAAATTGTACGTTTGCTGTGTATGCATGCATATTTGTTTCTTCCATTATTATCAATATTTATGTGTGTTTGGAGTGATAAGTTTCCATTTCTGATTCTTGTACTAATATAATATACTGTGTATTAATTTATGAAATTTAAACAATTATAGCATTCCCATTGTTGAGTAAATTTTACGTTTTAATATTGTTGGTTTTATAGTATTCCCTTGGGTACTTGATTCTCCCATACCCTGTCCTTTCTTTGATTTTGTGACCCTAGTTCTCTTCATTCTCTACAAAGGAAACTGCTATTCAATTATAATACAAGAGTAACATTCTCGGGTCCTTTCTAATGATTAAAAGGAATCAAGTATGGACAATTTGATCAATCATGATATAGTACGAACTACGAAGTAAGCAATTAAGGAGAACATAACTCTCTCATATGTAACACAAGAGAACTTTAACAACCACCATGAAAGGAATTGACAATTTAGATCAATCAAATCAATTTCACAAAGTCAACCCAATGCATGTTTTAAAATGGTTTACCTTAAGTTTCACACAACTGACGCACCTTAAGCATACAAATCACACACCTTAAAAAGGTAAACAACGCACCTTAAGAAGGAAACTCACGAACCTTAAGTTTCAACAACTATTCACATTAACCACAAAACTTACGCACCTTAAGTTTCAACAACTACTCACATTAAGTACACAACCCATACACCTTAAACACAAAACTCACGCACCTTAAGCACAAACTCACACACGTCCTTAAGCACGAAAACCAGGCACCTTAATTTTGACTTAGATGCAAAAATTACCAAATTGTCATCGCGTTTTTTTTTTTTTGGTTATCTTAGATGTTGATTTAAGTAAGTTTAATGGCTCAGATTTAACCGCACAATCGCACGAGAGACACTTAACCACACGGGAACTAAATTATATATATATATATATATATATATATATATATATATATATATATATATATATATATATATATATATATATATATATATATATTGCACATTCAGGTGAGAAAGTTGCGTCCAGGAGAGAACTCAGAATGCATGACAATCGGCCACGTGTTCAGATCTAACGGATGAGAAACACTGATTTTTTTTAAAAACGCGGTGATATTTTCGTATATAAATAAATACCGAAGTGCAAGTAAAATGTATTAGAAGTGCAAGTTGCAGTTTCATATAGTGCACCCAAATGCAAGTAAAATGTATTACAAGTGCATGTAAAATGTATTACAGGTGCAAGAAAAATTTACAGTGAGTATCAATACTAAGTGCACCTAACGTTATAACTAGTTGCACCAAACGTTATAACTAGTTGCACCCAACGTTATAATTAGGTGCACCTATGTGCACGAATGTTAACAAGGTAAATTACTTGCACTTGTAAGTGATTTTATTTGCACTTTTTACTTGCAAAGATGCAGCAGCTACTTGCACTTATAACACATTACTTGCACCAAAGTTTGAGTTATTTAGGATAATGATACCACGCCGATATTTTAAAAATTTACATCTAATTTGTTACTCTGAACACGTGAACAGTTGTAAATAATTCTTATTTCTCTCCTGGGATATATATATATATATATATATATATATATATATATAAAATTTTTCACCTATAATAATTACAAAATTTTCAAATAATTCCACAGCAAAAAAGGATACGACGAAAAAAAAAAAAAAACTCTGGTCAATGGCTAATTGTGTATGATTATACTTTAGTACAGAACATCTCCGAAATCGGAATGAATCTTTGTGGGAATTATGGGAGCATATCCTAGAAAATGCATATTAATGAAATTTTGGGGAAAGAGTTGCGTTATAAATCTTTGTAGAAAAGTCATCGATTGTTCATCGAATTTTAATGTTCTTGAAACTTTGAGAGTATGTAATAAAATTCTTGAATTATATCAAGGAAAACATATATCAAATATATTCTTGAAACCAAATATAAATAAATAAAATTAAGAATCAAATCTTACACAAATATGCTAGTTCATTCATCTAAGGATGATTAAAGGTTGAAAATCAATGAAAATAGATTAAAAAAAATGTGATGGCATTTTTCTAATTTTCTGCAATTATGATTATGCATTTGGAAATGTTTGATCGTGCTGTAAACACAAAAAAAGTAAACTTTGTATATATTTCACAAAATTCCTTGTACAGTGTGTGTATAATTCAATATGCAGGTACACAATCTTTGTCTAGTCCTCTGATTCTTCACTGACGAATCACTGACGTTATCTATTGAAGTGCCTCCGGGATTCAAATAGTGTAGCCTCCGGGATTCAAATAGTGTAGCCTCCGGGATTCAATTGGCGCGTGCCTCCGGGATTCAAGTGGCGTAGCTTCTGGGATTCAATTGGCGTGACTTTCAACAACGAACGTCAAGAATTTAGAAATAATCAACCCTGCAAAGTTTCAAAACACATGCAATCGATTCAAGTTGCCTTAAAGATCCTCAAATGCCTTCAAAAGACTTCAAGATCTTCGAGACAATCAATTCTGGAAAGCTCCAAAGTACCTGCAATGGATTCAAATTGCCTGCAAAATATTCAAAAGATGCCTTCAAGTCTTCAAGTGTTCTTCAATGCCTTCAACCTCTCAAGCCTTCAAGTTCTCAAGCGTTCTTCAATGCCTTCAAAGCCTTCAAGTCTTTAAGTTCTTCAAATGCTCTCAACTCCTCAAGTCTTCAATTGTTGTGTTTTAGAATGAAAATGAAGGCCCTATTTATACTAAAAGGCCTAACCAAAATCCCTCAACAAACTCCCCTTTTTAATTAATTAATTAGTTAATTATTATTTAGGAAAATGAACCTTGCCCAAAATAAAGTTCAGGTTCATTATTGTATAATCTAATTCAAATTCA